TTATTTGACTTATCAAATTCTTTTATTAACTAACGTGATTTAAGTCGATGATTGTATACGAGGATATGTGATAACAAACATTCGTCCGATCTGATTGAAATCAGATCTATGGGCCACTAAAAACTGTCAAGTTTAAGGGAATTGGTTGTTTAATCACCGGTTGTTTAGAGTATTGCTGGTAAATCGACCCATTTGTTTATACGGTTCTGGCAAGACTTGAAACATCAAAGTCGTATTGAAGCAAGTGACTGACTTGAAACAAGCTTCATGAATGTTTCAAAGAATAAAAAGCACAGATTGACTAATTGTGTGTTTGTGTGTTTGCACGAAACATATTCATTCTGAATTTGGCCCCTTCCTTTTCCTTTGGTTATCCTTAATCGATTTTATTATATGTGGTTATTTGATAAGTTCTTATTCTTTCCTCAATAAATCATCTCTCTGTCTTTTCATTTAATTGACCTGGTTCGATATAGAAAACCAATGTATCGAAATGTGTTTCGTGGACATAGTGTACTTTTCAGATTTCAAGTGAATATTTATGAATTCGTAAGACTGATTACAGTGGTCTAACAAATAAGATGGATTACAGAAGTTGTATAAGCAAATCATATTGAATAATCTTATACATTCTTTCAACTCCTCTAATATACTGAACCATACTGACTGACGCATGAACTGAAATTCATTCAAATTTCACAATAGGGTCTCTGTGCAAATTGTATTTACCATTGACAGTTTGTGACATTTTATCTCGTTTTGTTTTTCCTATTTAACACAGTATGCATTAGGTCCTTCACCATGGATAAGAGAATTGTCAACAAATCGCTTGACCGCCTTGTTATGATTCAGTTGTAGGATGTGTAAATCTAATCAAGTTGTTTTGTTAGATTTCATATTGAAACATCTACAAATTTATATGATTTATCTAACAGAAACAATCTAGATCATACATATAATAGAAGTAACCATAATAACCAGATTAAATCTTGATCAAATCTATCTGATGATATGCCTGAACTATGATCAGATAGGTTCTGTTTTTCGTTTCAATAAGATTGAATGATGTTTTGCATTATATAGACGAAGTATAACCCATCTGAAGAATCATTTCAATGGTTGTTGCTCGATCTTTCAAAGCGTCTAGGTCACCCGACTGAGATACGCCCGAAACCGAAAATCCAAAACAAAGATTTGTATACAATAGCTGGTTCATTATTGAATAATACAAAAAATTTAGTTACGAACCTCAAATTGTGAGGTGTCTGATGCATTTAAACGTGTCCTTCATATAGTAAAGTATAAAGCCTTCCTGTAACTGTAACATAAAGAATAATTATAAAATACGATAGTACAAAAAACAGCTTATATCTGTGTCTATATTTGACAACAGATTATGAACGACCGAAACCCGAACCAAGAGCAAAACAATATGGAAACTGTTGAATTTAAACAAATGCATGAACCTGTGGATAACTGCTGCAGTGATTGAGGTATAGTAATTAAAATGATAAATACAATAAACGTAACAAATATATGTGATGAACAAGGTGGAATATGTTTTGATAATGTGATGGAATTAGCTACTGTCCAATTGTTCGTCATCTCATATTTCTGTACACATATACTTAACCGGAGTCAAATTCAACTGAGCATTAGAACATACGTTGTTTAGCTAGGACAATATCTTCAAACTTTTTGATATACCTCTTTAATTACTTTCATTATTGAATCTCTTCTATTAACACATGTGTATAAATGTTTGCCGTCGATGACTCTTATCACTGAACCCACATGTTTCCTCTGCCTTATCGAGCCATTAGTTCGCTTTTCTTCTGACGATTTTCATTTCCAAATTCTCTCATCCGTGATTTTATTCATACTCCTTCAACAATAATATACCGTCAAACCAGACGCAAACCTGCACAGTTCTTCTTTTACGTCATTATGATATCAGCTTACACGTTGCCTTTTCTTAAATGCAAGACAATGACAGGTCTAGGACAATGATATACTATTGTGGGAAATGAAACGATTAAATAGAATTTTTACTTTAATGAATATTTAAACTTATTTGGTTGCTGACCAGTTTTGTGTTTTCCTCCGCATATAAACATTTAATTACCATTATTCCACAATGTAGCAACAGCATGACTAATCAACCAAAACAGTTCGAAGGAGGACCTGACTTCATGTCTTATATTCCAATTGGTCTCCAGTCGGGCTGACTCCATGTATTAGTACACCCTTGTTTGTTTGATATTAAGTTGTTGTCGTGTTTCTTCACTTGAACTAGTTTGATTAACTAACATTTGATTATCAAGCTCGATATTCTATTCACATATGAAGAGATCAATCTGCCATCAAAACTACATTTAACTACGTTTACAGTCTGATTGACAGATATCACCAACGTATCTTGTATCAGCCTTCACTTACTGATGAATTATTAGATTGAAGGCAACAATTCGGAAATAACTAGCCATCGATCTAACTTGATCAATTCATTGTTTTCTTAATAGTTTACCAATAACATCTAGGTATTCGTCGTAACTTTTAATCAAACTGATTGGCAAATTGAGTAAAGCACAAATCGATAAAACAAGCTCATTGATTACGTAACATTTTATTGATTTCCAATAGACTTTTGATGGATTAACAAACTGATATATAGGATATGACCCATGACAGGAATTAGTCGTTTTCACCAGTCTAACTTGACAAGCCTATTCACCTCCATCTTCGAAACGAATAGTTTTTGATCATTCAAGTTGATCATTAAATCCTATGCATCTGTAATAGAATGAATAAGAATTATGCAAGATTCCCTTAAAATAAAATTCAAGTTGATTGATACCTGCTTGCATCCACTGAATGTTATTGAATACAAATGAAATAACCCTCGCAAATCGTATGACTGAAATTCTGGTAATCCACTTCATTTCAATCATTTTTTAATCAATTTAACATGGAACCTTCAATATTGAATCCTCACGTTAAGCGATTCAGTGAATAAATGAGGAACATATGATTGCTGATCAACACAGATACATTTTAGATCAGGTCAAAATACAACTAGAACAAACCATTTTCACTATCTAACAAGAAGAGTGAATCCACCTATACGTATGTACTGCAATTATTATAAGAAGACAAATTAGGTATCGTCATGCAGGAAAACAAAGTCTGTGTACTAATCAGTAACTGGAGAAACAAAATAGTGGACAAATTGCGAACAAAACGAATACATATAGGATATTGGCTACAGAGTTCGCCATTTGATAGTCAAGTAATTTCCAGTTGAACTGAAGTCAAACTCAGTTACAGTGAAATGTAGCTAGTAATGGAATTTGAGATGTGTGTTTCGTCCTACTTGAGACCTGTCAGTAGGTTGTACCCAATCTTAGAGTTGATATTTAGGCTGGCTGACAAGGCCTTAACTGGACGAAATGCTGGTCCTGGGTCCGTCCGCAAGCCACATCTCAAACCTTTCCAACTTAAGTTGTGTGATAACGGTTTCATCGAGACAATCTATAGAGGGTGCACATATGCCAAATAGGACTGAACAAGTTTCAACAAAAACATAGTTCAAACAGAGTTTGATATTAAAAGTATGATCTCACTGGTTGTCACAGGTTCGATAATGGCTAGTAACAGTATCCAGGATAACCGTTCCGTCCGATTTGAGACTCGTTATGTTAGTTGTTCTGTATTCCAGTGTTATTCTTCACATTGAGATCGAAACCGAATATCGTTCATTTCAAACCTCAATGCATTATCCAATAAGATATTGAACTCAGATAGTCGCTGGTTAATGCATAGTTTATTCTGACTTACTGGTGATATTAGGGTAATTATCTCGGAATGATCATCATCATCATCAGTATTAATCGACACACTGGGTTCACAGCGAAGCACACGTCCATTCAGCGCAATGATCCTGATCATATGTGAATGTTTTAATTTCAGTAAAACCGTTATTTACCTACCTTCTCATGATTCATCTAGTCCCTACACACTCACACACACATACACTGATATATTCGCCTACAATACGTCAACACTAGCAATCTTTAAAATCTGGTAACATGTAAATAAGCATGTGTGAGTGTGCGTGTGTGCATGTATCAATGTTGTCGTTATTGTCATCATCCTTGTTGTTTTGTTCTATTCCCCATTTTCTCGTCACACTTTCTAATCTCATTGTTTTTCCCATCTTCCGGAGTTCTTCAATTGTTTGTTTGAAATGGTTGTTTTGGAAATAATCCTCAAATAATAGTATCTTTTGTTCCGATTAAATTTATTTATTCCTTTGATGGATGGTTGTCTTCTCAAATGTTAAGCGAAGATTTACCGTTCAGCTTAATAATATGATTGTGAATTCGCAAATGAGAGGAGAGTTCAGGAAGTTATCTCACTTGTAAGACCATTTGTAAGGATTCTTAGATAAACTACTCTATTCGATAAATGCTTTAAATCTATTTTACACAACTAACGGATATGGCCTTATTCCATTTCTCGAAAGATTCTTTATTCATGATAAAACAATTGGTCAATCTGTGCTTCTTGTTGTTTGAAACATTCATGAAGTTTGTTCCATGTCAGTCACTTGCTTCAATACGACTTTGATGTTTAAGTCTTGCAGAACCGATAAAACCAAATGGTTCGGTCTACCAACAATAATCTAAACAACCGGTGATTAAGCAACATAACAGCGATAAAAAAATATTGAATGTTTCCATGAATCAAGGCTGTCGGTGGTTACACTGCCGCTGAATCATCCTCATACGCCTTAAACATTTCACGAAATGTCGGGTTAGCTATTAATTTAAGTGCCTCAGGATTTCGTGTACTTCCACAACGATATTCTAAATTCGCATCAAAAATAATGCAAGTCCAATCGGCTTATTTATCTTACAAATTGATATATTCCTTCCAAACAGTATTGACATTTTAAACGTATTCTTTTCAAATAGTATTGTAGTGAACGCGAATACAAGTGACATCCGCCCTATCATCATCATCATCATCATCATCATCATCATCATCATCATCATCATCATCATCATCATCATCATCATCATCATCATCATCATCATCATCATCATCATCATCATCATCATCATCATCATCATCATCATCATCATCATCATCATCATCATCATCATCATCATCATCATCATCATCATCATCATCATCATCATCATCATCATCATCATCATCATCATCATCATCATCATCATCATCATCATCATCATCATCATCATCATCATCATCATCATCATCATCATCATCATCATCATCATCATCATCATCATCATCATCATCATCATCATCATCATCATCATCATCATCATCATCATCATCATCATCATCATCATCATCATCATCATCATCATCATCATCATCATCATCATCATCATCATCATCATCATCATCATCATCATCATCATCATCATCATCATCATCATCATCATCATCATCATCATCATCATCATCATCATCATCATCATCATCATCATCATCATCATCATCATCATCATCATCATCATCATCATCATCATCATCATCATCATCATCATCATCATCATCATCATCATCATCATCATCATCATCATCATCATCATCATCATCATCATCATCATCATCATCATCATCATCATCATCATCATCATCATCATCATCATCATCATCATCATCATCATCATCATCATCATCATCATCATCATCATCATCATCATCATCATCATCATCATCATCATCATCATCATCATCATCATCATCATCATCATCATCATCATCATCATCATCATCATCATCATCATCATCATCATCATCATCATCATCATCATCATCATCATCATCATCATCATCATCATCATCATCATCATCATCATCATCATCATCATCATCATCATCATCATCATCATCATCATCATCATCATCATCATCATCATCATCATCATCATCATCATCATCATCATCATCATCATCATCATCATCATCATTATTATTATTATTATTATTATTATTATTATTATTATTATTATTATTATTATTATTATTATTATCACACCATTCATTCTCTTTCCTAGTTCTCTTCTATTCGAACATTCTTAGCTTTCTACCACTTGGCATTTCATTTTCGATTGATGATACATACTAGTTATATCCGCAAACAGCAGTAGCATACACCATATACGTATTCATACAAACGGTGTACAAACATTTACCATATAATTTTAAATTAGTGCGCATTACCTTATCAAATCCTCGAGATGTCACTTTCGTAGATTTTATATCGGTGGGACTCATAATTATAATAATCTAGAAACGTTTAGACTGAACTAGTTGATACTTCTCATGTTTCTTGAATGTGAGAATATGAACAATCATCATTTTCACGAAAAAGTCCATATCAACTTCTGTGTTTCTGTTTTATTTCAATTACTCTGTCAGAGAAATTCATCGCTTCACGATATTCTGGATAGACACAATGATCTGACATCACTTTATCTAGTCATCATTATTATGTTGGTCAGACAAAATGAATAGGACTCCGTTTAGAAGTTACATTTTCTTATTGAACTATGATAAAATCGTCTAACAGAAGTTTTATTAAAATGAAATTCAAGTGTAAAAGTGTAAATGCTGAATTCCCATCTAAACAGTTTGTGTCATTTTGTTTTGAATCAATCAAATATAAACAATACACCATTGAAAGTCTATAAAGAGGTATTTGCAGGCAACAAACTGCTTGTTCGTATTTTTGAGTAGCAAGTTAATCAACCATGTATTACAAAGCACGCTTAATCACATTCAAGAGCAGTTTCATCAACAGGGGTCAGGAATATAAAACAACGGTGGATAAACTCCAGCTCAGGTTCTCAATAGATAGAAGAATATTGAATAACGATCAGTTATTCCACCACTATGATTGGTCAATAATGAATGTAATGAACGAAATTTGACCTACATGGTCACTTTGAATCATCGAATCAGAATAAAACAACCAAACACTCAATAAATCTATATATACCAGACAATTTTTAGTGAAATTTCATTAACTGCTTTGAACAAGATGATGAGGTGAGTGTGAGCTGAACACAAGAGGTAAATGAGTGTTTCGTACAAATTGAAATATGAGTCCATGTGATAACGTTCTTTTATTCACTTGAACCATTTCAGATTCAATTCTCCATATGATCTGTTGATACGAATTTCTATGATCTTGAACGTATTTTCCGTGTTGTGTAACTGTGATGAAATTTGTAAACATCCGAATTGGGTGAACTTTGAACAAGTGATTTTTAAGAATGAATCATATCGATATGTAAGTAATCGGTCAGATTCTAATAGACATATACAGTCTCATCATTATTATTACTCACAAACCATTAATCTCAATCAGCCTCGTCCAAATGTGCATGGCAGTTTTAATGAGTACAAGAAGGTTAAAGTGAGTTGGTTACATTTTGTAGTGGAGGCACTATCCACTTATTTACACCTTTTAGTTTATTAAACCAGAATTCCCGTTAAAATCTTTTGAAAGTGAAGTCAGTAAATTTGAAATTTGGTCTAATGGTAAGTCCATATTTTTCTTTGAACTAAAATTGTTATTGAATTTACTTGATCACCAATTAATCGCATGAATCATAGTGGATTCAATTTCTTCAATGAATCAGTTGCATGCTCCTTATGACGCGCCGATTTCTTCAATGAATCAGTTGCATGCTCCTTATGACGCGCCGATTTCTTCAATGAATCACTTACATGCTCCGTGTTACATGTCGAACTTAGGCAATTTATATTTTATTCATTCCATGTGAAATTATTAATCAAATTGTATGTTTTCATTAACAAAAATATAGGTTTTTTAGATTTATTTAAAAACGAAACGCTAATTGGAGAAATCTTAAATGAATTAGGAAGCGGTTTTTCACGTCAACTTTTGAATGAGAGTGAGTTTCTTGAATTATTCAGTTGCAGTTTGTTTTGTTTACTGTCCTCAAATACGTTTTGCATATACGAAATCTCACCGACCCGACATTTCTCAATAAACTGAGTGAATCCAACTAAAAAAATGTGCAATGATAAGCGGTGTTCTGAGTTAAATCAGTTTGTACTATTGAAGCCGACAATCTATCAAATCTTACTTGATGCCCTAAAATACTTTTCTAGAACTTACTTGATTCCTAAAAGTTTAATGTCTCTGAGTCGCAGTCTGTCGACCATCGTATATTCAACTGTACCTCATTAATCATATTCATATTTATACAATTTTCGAATTCAAACACTTTCTAACACAGCGGACTAATGAACGAACGTGAACAGTCGACAAGTGCAAGATTCTTTACTCAAACTAGAACACCTAGAACATCAATTTTGCATCCGTACATCTCGGTCAGCTATACACATTGATGATTAACAAAATCTAACGTCCAATAAATATTCAAAGACAGTTACTCAGTCAAAAACATTTGAGAAAATTTTACGGAAGTGTAACATTCTTCTAACTTAAAGAGGGATTGAAATGTTCATCATATCGTTGAAGTGACAATAATCCTTGAACCTTCCTCATAAGCGATGATCAAGCATTTCACCACACCATTTCATGTAAATGTCAGAATGAAAGTGGTAACTTGTATGCAGAGGTAGTCCATGTTAAAACGTACATTTAATAAAAGAGATGGATTTTCATTTTACACATATTTCATTGTCTATTTTTATTTTCAATTATTCAGAGGGATTATTCGCTGTCAAGTGGTCTCGTTTTGAAAAAGATAAAGGTAAACATTATTCATGACAAGTGAAATTTGCACACTTACTTCTTTACTCTTTTTGATCACACTGTTTGTGCAATTCAGTTTTCAGAAAATTGACATTTAAAACTTTGTTACTTTTCTGGAAAATGAGGGTTGAACCAAATGTGAAATCCACTCACCGTTTGATCTCATTGATTGGGACTTGATGCACATTGCCTGTTTGAAAAACTGTTATATGTTTGTCACTAAATTCATTCCTGTGCACATCATATTCATCTACACTTCCATTCATCACATAGTCATTCCTATACATTATCCTTCCACATTGAGAAATCGTTGAGATTTCACATTCAAATCTATTCGACTCTCATCTACAACTACCAAACACTGTAGCCAGAGTTAGTTGATCGATTTAAATATCCATATATTAGGTGATCAATGAGATTATCTAGTTGCATTTGTGAATAAACACTCCACAACTTATGTCATGCATACTTGGAGTCGATTGTTACAAGGAAAATTATAGAAAATATTGCGTATGTGCGAATATATATGCAGTATTTCACCTTCAGTGATTCAATAGTAATGCAGATTCAGAAACTCAGCATTTCACACTAGTTTGGAAGGATGCATGCTCGTTTCATTCAAATGAAGTTTAGTTCAATGTGTTTGAGTGCGAATCCGACTGGAGAAAGCATTTGACACAACTCAGTAATTATACACTAAATTTGATCACTTTGTGAGTGAGCACATGCTGTGTTACACCTATCTTTCAAATTCTAAGTATCGTTTATCTTTTAATTGTAGAGAATACACCCATAGTAACTAATCTGTTATATCCGAATGGGAAGATATCTATCTATTATGAGAACGTAAGTTATAAACTGAATGTACATTTAGTTTTGTTTCAAGTAATTGAGATCATTCTACTAATTCATGTTTATGAATACTGGCGAATTTATCAAGCTACACCGAACATGATGGATAAAGATCAACATTTTGTGATGTGACAACAAAATGTTTGATTATGTAATTATTCTTTTAATGACACAACTCACTCTAGCACTTGTTAAAATGTGAGTAATTAGAAGTGAAGTGACATCAGTTGTAACAATGATGTGTTCATGTCAAACACTACTAACCAGTGTATGTCAGAATAGTGTATGTAATGTGTCGTATTCTGTCAGACTGTATTTCATCTTCAAATGGTAGGCTTTTCGGAACATTCAATAATGTATCATTTGAGCACAGCTTCCATGAAGCTGTTAACAGTCACATTTCTTTACAACTGACGTAGATTTTCATCTTACAGTGTGTCAACATATTTCATGTTAGATTGATAAATCATCAAACGTGACTGAAGTTGACAGCTGGCGTGATTAAGAATATCTATGTACACCAGATAGAACACATTTTCAAAGAAAATGAGAATATCATTATACGTAATGTAATTGTGGTTAAGATAATTTGAACAAAGACCCACTTATTTAATGTTCGATTTGTTTTGATATAAGAGCTTGTGTGCTGACAAATCCTCGTCCGATTTTTGTTTCAGATTCTTTCGGAAATTAACGAAAATGAGACGATGTTCGGAATCCGAGGAAACTTTCAATGTGACACAGGTAAGAAACTTTGCAAAGAATGATGTTGACAGTTTGACGTACTATGTCGTCTATAATCAATCATCTGTTTGTTGAGGCTCATATAACCGGCTATCTGCAGTAAAGTATCTAAAGTGTATGAATGTTTTTTTATCGCAAAATATTGGATGGTTAATATAAGACGTTTGGTTTTTGTGGAGATCGATAAACTGAACGAGACAGACATATATGAACGACGAAATTAAGCAGATAAAATATCGTCATGCGTGATGAATAGGTAGCACCTGAAGCTAATGTTTTCTGCACACAATGCTCGATCCAATGTGTTGATGAGCAGGAATGAAATACTTTTTCACGCTTCGTACAAACAAGTGGGTGTTTCGACTGAATGGTTAGGTGAATATCAGTATTCCGTTTGAGTTGAATGATCCTGGGCTCCGGTCCATCAGTAAACATCAACTCCGAGATGTAGGAATATCCAGCTGAGACTTTTTAAATAAGAAGGAAAGCTAGTCATCATTCGTTTTTCACTTGATGCTTTCATGTTGTTAATTTGTAAGCTGAAGTGTCAAAAAGTGATTAAAGGGTTGAACTTAAATTTTGCGGTTGTTGCTCAAAAAAGAAATCTAAATTGTACATTTTTTCTCTTTGATTTGTCACACAAGGTAAGACAGAACATGAGATATCTGTTCCTTCAAAATGGATCAAAACTGGCACGTTAGTGGAGTATGAAGTCATCGGCAGTATGTTAAACCTTATTTATCATCATTTACTATTTTCACACTTAAATCCATCCTTTT